CCCGCCGCGCTAGCCCTGCGGGAGTGAGAGCGGCGCTGCTCCTCCGGGCCGGCTGCCGGTGGATCTGCGCGCGCCGAGCCCGCGCCGGGCCGGCCTTCAGCCTGCGCCCTGCTCCCCGCCTGTCTCCGTGGACTCGCTGTGTCCACGAGGGCCCACCTCTAAAGTGTGGTCTCCAGGTGAGAACGTGAGACTGCCTCAGGCCCCGCGCGAACCCTGAGAGCGTCCATAGTGCAGCCCTCTCGGGGCGGCCGCTTGGGCTGGATCTGTCTGCGCCACCCCATTGCCACCCTCACCCTGGTACAAGCCGCTGTTTTCCTGTTCAATGTCCGATAAAGTAAGGAATTTTCTAGGGGGACATATTGTCGGAGAAATACGGTAGATGGTCTTTCGGCCCAACAATCTCAGTCACCTTGCAGAAAGTGTGCTGCGCTGCGGCCCAGGCCTTCCGGAAGGTCTGAGCTTTGCTGACCCCCCACTTCAGAGCACCAGCCGTCTGTATCTGGGGCACGTCCTAAAGACTACACGGTGCTTCCTCGCCTATAAAGACAGTTCACCCAGTTCTCATCCAAAGCAGTCCTAACACGCGTTTTGCCGGCTTAGAGGTTGGAAGAGGGACGCTGTGGCTTGTCCGGGGGAGACACGTGAACTGTGGGTGCCATAACCCGCCGCGCCCTTTTGCCCACATTCCAACTGGATCCCCAGCTAAGCATTTTACAGATGAAGAAGCCTGCTGAGAGAGGGCACATGCCTTCCCCAGTCACACCGCTGGAAGAAAGGAAAGGCGTGAGACAGGACCAGATCTGTCTGCTCCACAGAGCATCTTACAGACACCGTCGGGCAGGGCACATGGGCAGACAGCTCCTTCGAAGGTCCTGATTTCCTTTTCCCCGTGGCCCTGGGAGGTGAGGAGCATGTTTCCCTGCTTCTTTGGAGGACGCGGCTAGAGTGGGAATTTGTAGCCAGGGAGTCTGCGCTGGCTTGACCTAGGACCCGGAGACGCTCTTTTCAGGTTAGTGCCAGGGATGCAGCTCTTGTTGCGACCAGCAACCAAACCAAGACTTGGCCAGAGGACTTGGAGGGGACCTGTGTTGAGGATGAGGTTGTGATAAGCTTCCTAGTTTACAGAAGGTCATGGCCGCTTGCAGCATCATGGCAGGTCTGGCTTGTATGGGTAGAACAGGTGGGTTGTGTTGTCTTTTTAAGAGAGGAAACAGAAGTTGCAAAGTTCAATTACGTTTTGTCTCTGGGCAGGGCAGTATCCCGCATTACCGAAGCACTTCTCCATCTGTCCTGCCTGCCTCTGGGTCTTCGTTCCTCACATACTCTCAGGCCAATGTCTCCTGTTCCCTGGGGGAAAAATGCAGGAAAACGTCAGAAGCATCTTAGAAATTAAAATACATCCTTAGTGGCTTCAGCACACAGGAAGAGGGACCAGCTGCCCAGAAACTGAAAATTAGCAAAGAAGATCCTGTTAAAACCTGAGTCAGATCATGTCTCTCTTGGACCAGAAACTTCCAATGGCTCCCACTTCATTCAGAGTAAGTAAACCCCAAGTTTTCATGGTCATCTTTAGCCCCCTACTGGATCTGGCCTCCATTCCATCTCTGACCATCTCTTCTTCTCCCCACTTGCTCACATTACTCCAAATACAATGGCCTCTTTGTGCTCTTTCAAACATGTGAGGTCTCACCTCAGGACCTTTGCACATGCTCTTGCTTCACCTGGAGAAGCTCTTTCCCTAGAATTCACGTGGCTCCCTCACCTCCTTCATGTTTTATTCAAGTATTAGCTTCTTAGGGAACCCTGAATCAGTCATTCAGTTTAAAGTGTTAATATACCTCCTGATATTTCCTAGTTCCCTATCCTATTTATCTTTTCTTCTTGGTATTGCTTATTATCTTCTGATTTACTGTATGTATTTTATTTTGTTTACCCTGTCTCCTCCAGTCACCAGAGCAGTGATTTCTGTCCTTTCTTATCTCTAGCACCAAGCACAGAGTAAGTGCCCAATCATTGAATTAATGAATTTCAGAAAGACTTGGAGCAGACAGGGTCAGTTTGAAAGAAATTAAAAAGGGTTGAGGAACATACTTCAAACAGGTAAAAAAAAGTTGGCCACTGAAGAAACTAGAAGAGCAATTTTACGGAAAGAGGCCTGAACATCTTCCAGAGAGTTTGTGTGACAGTCCTCGTTTCTGCTGTGCTTCCTGCCCGTTTTTCCTTTATACCCATTGGCCCGGCTAACACCACCTTTGGATAATGGCTTAAGGTGAACTGCATGGTGACGTAGTACCATGGCAACCTTACTCCTCATCCCAGCCTAAGTCAGGCCTGCTTGTCCTTCGCAGCACGCTGTCCGGTAAGTTTGTGTTGAATGAGTGCATGAATTAATGAATGAACCAATGAGGACACTAGCATCCTAATTACTGGGTGGGCTGCCTGAGCCACTGGATAGAGCATTTACCCCCGACCAGGGGGTGAAAAGTCTGCCAGTGCAGTGGGGAGATTCTCTTGTTTGGATTTCTGGCCAGGGAGCAGGGAACCACAGACAACACTCCAACCCTTAAGTTTTAAGGCAACAGGAACACTTAAACCTATTCTTTTATCTTCATAATGCCCTGAGCAATTGTTGGTACATCCCACTTTGTAGAATAAAGTGTGCGGCTAGGAGAGGCAGCACATCCCTCGCAGGAAGCACATGGAGTCCAGATGCTACGGTGAAGGTGTGGCCCCCACACACTTGCCTCTCAGAACTGCGAATGGTGTTGGGGCTCAAGTGATGGGCCTGAGCACCTAGCGGAGCCCACAGCAGGAGCCCAGAACACCCAGCCAGCGCTCCTCTGAATGCGGTGCTGCACCTTGCAGGGCTCGCCCTCAGGGTACACACAGGCTGTCAAGGATCCTGCCCTCACTGCTCCCCATTACCTAGGAGTGCTTAGTTGTGAGGCTCTGATGTTTCTTGCAGCATAGACTGCACCCCTGAGCTTGGGGCATGGAGCTTGGCCGCATCCTAGCCCCGGGCCCTGGAATCTCCCGTGTGTGCCTCGTAGACACTGCAAAGTGAAAGGGTCCAACCTGAACCCTTCAAGCTGCCCCTCAGCCCTAGTGTGTGAGCCTGCTGGAGCTGCCAGAACAAACTCCATGGACAGATGTGTCTTTCACAGTTCTGGAGGTACAAGGCTGAGATCAAGGTGCCGCAGGTCAGGTTTTACTTAGGGCCTCTCCTTTTGGTCCATAGATGCTGACTTCTCCCAGAATCCTCATGGGGAGCCCCTGTGTATCTGTCTCCTCGTTTCCTCTTCTTACAGTGACACCCATCATACTGGATTAGGAACCACCCCAAGCACTTCACCGTAAATTACCTCTTTAAAGTCCCTCTCTCCAAATAAAGCTGCCTTTGGAGGCCCTGGGCATTAGGACTTCAACCTATGAAGTTTGGGGGACATACGTCAATCTGCAACCCCTGAGCACCTCAGGTCAGCAGCACGCCGGTGCCTGCTCCCCCAGAGCCACGTCCAGTGATTTCAGCGCATTGATCTCGGGGCCTGTCCGCTGGTGGCGGCCCCCGCTGCCCACGCCACCAGCTCTTCCGCATCCATCCTCACACAGCAGGGTGTGCATTGCCCCCCAGAGGGATCGTTCTGGCCAAGACCCTCCATGGCTCCCACAACCCAGCTCACCCTGGCGTTCAAACCTCTGCCTGACATGACCCCTGCTGTGTCCGCTTGCACCCACTTGGCCCATCCCAAGGAGGACCCTTTGCCTTGGGTTTCCCCGAGCAACAGGACTACCTGGATTTAAACCCAGATCCTAGTACTTCTTGTCTGCGCAACACCTAGCGGGTCATGACCCTTCTGTTCCACCGTCTGTCTGTGAAACTGGGACAACCTGTGTGGTGCCCTGGCCATGGGGTGTCTGTGAGAAGTGTTGCTGGCTGAGGGCCTCCAGCAGCCACACCTCCAGATCCAGTGTAGCTTCCCCAAGAGGTTATGCTTCTCCTGGGTTCCCCAGCTGAGGACCAAGTGTAGCCGAGTCTGCCCAACTGTTGCTGCCCCACACCGGGCTCCTACATGGGCAGTCTGGGCTCTGGGGCGCTGCACTCAGTGCGTCTTCCCTCCTCTGTGCTGGCTTCAGTGTGGTTTCAGGGAGTGTGGGGATTTAGCTCAGCGGCACAGCGCCTGCCTGGCAAGCGCGTGGTCATGAGTTTGATTCCCGGTACCGGAAAAAAAAAAACAAAAAACAGTGTGGTTGCAGGGATAAACCTTCAAGGTCCCCATACACCTCCAAGGATGGGCAGACAGGGCCAGTACTGTCAGGACAGGGGAGCCACAGGGAGAAGGAATACAGATGCACACAGCTTCAGGGTACAGAACCGCCTCAGGAGCGGGCTGTCAGGAGAGGAAATCAAGAGTCCAACTTGTTTAAGCGAACAATTTTTTTTTTTTTTTTTTGGTAGTGCTGGGGATTGAACCCAGGGCTTTATGCGTGCAAGGCAAGAGCTCTTCCACTGAGCCACATCCCCACCCCCTTAGCCAACAATATTTTGAGTATTTATTACAAAAGACATCCACAGAACAAGAAAGTCTGAAAGCAAGGACCGTGACCATCCTGTTTGTCACAATATCCTCCTGCCATCTGAAAATCTGTCATTAATGCCCCTGCCTTATAATGGTTTGACTTACCTTTTCTTAAAACTTTGCTATGGTGCAGAAGTGATAGGCATTCAACAGAAACGGTACTTTGAATTTTGGTTTCTTCCCAGGCTAGAACTATGAGTCAGTTCTCGTGGAACTGGGCAGGAACAGGACAGTCATCCACGTGATCACAGTGGTGACAGTGGTTCGCCTCCAGCGCACTGTGTGGCTAAGCTTGGAGGTTCTGAGGGTTAGATGTATTAAATTCATTTTAAATTTGATGCTGTCACATAACCATGGCTCTTTATTGGGACGTAATCCCAGCATCCGTGAAGGAGGGTCTGCATATAATAAGTCAACAGACACCTTGCTTGGGGTCAGGGCTCTTTCTTAGTCATCTCAGCATTCCCTGAAGCATTGCTAGAATTTTAGAGCAGTGCTGTCCAGCAGAACTTTCTGTGATGTGGAAATGTTCCATATCCACTGCCTTGGGGAAGGCCAGAAGGATTCAGGCTCCTGGGCTATTGTGTGAGGCAGGAAGCAGGCGACATACCGGAGGCCATGGAGGCAACCTCTGAACTTCCAGATTGTCTTGGAAAAGTTCGTATGGATCCCCAGCTAGTACAACAGGTAACTTTACTGAGCACTCATTGTATACCGGACACAAAGCTTATGGGTGATCACTGTGTGTTAAGCACTGTTTCAAGTACTTGACAAATTCCACTTCCATTAAATTACATCATTTCCCCATGGGGTAGGCGCTATTGTTGTGGCCATAGGCACAATGAATCTCTAGAACAGGAACCTACCACTATGAAAGAGGGGTCCTCAGAGAACAGGAGAGAAAGAATTCTTGACAATATGATACTTCATGGCATTCGTGCAAACACAACCAAAGGATGTATAGCGGAATGACATGCCCAAAGAAAAACAACAGGTGGAAATTATTTGAGAATTCCAGTCAAGGCTTCAATGTGCACTGAAGAGGAATTACATTCACATTCAGAAGTGAAGACAGATCCAAACCACCACCCTGGCCCCAGCCTGCCCTCCCCAGCTGAATCTGGCCGGCAGGCGCTGATGGGTGACTGGGAGTTAATGAGTCACTCCTGCCTGGTTAAAGTCCTTGACATTTAATACATGTTATTCAGGCCAACCTGAAGTTTGAAGTTCCATTCCCTTTCCCTGAGGTGCCTGTCCTTTGAGTCCAGCAGGTGGAGATCACTAGCAGCCCACAAGGAGCCAAAGGTGTAAGCACTGTCCACCACGGCCTGGGCAGCTTCGCTTAGCAGGAGGAGACTGGGAGAGTGAGCGGCACCCCCACCCAGCCTCACGCTAGCCGCTTGCCAGATCTGTGGGGGAATTCCCAGTCACTTCAGAGCACACGAGGAGAAACGCCAGCTCAAGCAGAATAAGGACAGACTATGTCAGTGGACATACTTGCACGGGGAATCTTCCTTCTACTGGGAAGATTTCAACCCACTAGTCAAAGATACACAGATTAAAACAAGATACCCTTTTCATCCAATTGGCAGGGATATTTTAGAGTTATGATACTGTTGGAAAGAAGTTAGGCTGGTACGTTTCCAGCAAGCAATCTTGTACTATATACATACCTCTGGAACCAGTAAGTCTATATCTAGGAAGGAAATTCAAATAAATGACCAGATTCATGCACAAACTTGTTCTTCCAGTGTTCGTGGAAGAGCGTTACTTTGAGAAAAATTGCAAACTAATTAATGTCTAATTAAAAAAAAAAAAACAAGCTGGTGTGGGGTGCATGCCTGTAATCCCAGCACTCTGGGAGGCTGAGGCAGGAGGATTTTAAATTCTAGTTCAGCCTGAGCAACTTAGCAACTTATTGAGACCCTGTCTCAAAATAACAAGTACTAAAAAGAACAGGGATGTATCCCTGGATTCAATCCCTAGTACTGAAAAAAAAAAAAAAAAGGAAGCAAGGAAGCTGATCATACTATGCCCCATCCATGTAGTGGACCCTAATTTGTCAATTTAAATCAGGTATTTTTTTTTTTTTTTTTTTGGTTTTTCTCCGGTACCGGGAACCGAACTCACGACCTTGCGCTTGCCAGGCAGGCGCTTTTGCCGCTGAGCTAAATCCCCAGCCCCTAAATCAGGTATTTTTAAAACTACTTGATAAAAGTTAAACTTTTAAAAGTAGGACACAAGACTATATAGGATTGTATAAAGAAAAATATACATTAATAGAAAAGATATATACAGAAATATTTACAGTGATTCTTTTTAAAATATTTATATTGAATACTGGGATATCTCATTTTAATTTTAGATATTTATCTTTTCCAGACTTTCTACAGTGAACATGTATTACTTTTATGGCCAGAAATAAAACATGGGTTTGTTGCATGTTTGTTTTAATTGTGCCATTTAGTATGTTATTTTGAAATAACGTCTTTATAAGTACAAAAATAATGTCATTGCCTAAAATGTCAGAAATTAGACAATTATAAAAAGAAAATCATTGATAATCGTATCATTGTTAACACTTTCTTGCTATATTACAAAAATAAGCATATTATATATAAAGTATAATCAAAGATACGGAGAATGTTTAACAATTTTAAAATTTATTAGAGTAAAGGGCACATAACCATTAATCCCCCTGAAAATACCCCTGTCACTTGGAATACACCTATCCCATCATTCTTTCCCCTTTCCGCTGCAGTTTTGGAAGTCCTCTTTTTGTGTCTTTACAAAGCGTGATCAAAACTACAGCGAATGCTGCTGCTGAGCGCCATCCAATGGAAAGGCAGGCTCTTAACAGCATCACGTACTATGTCCTCATCCACTTTATTCACTGGTTCTGACACTGATTTCTGGCTGTTCCCCAAAGTCAAAATGACCATGATATGTGAACATGTTGAATTGACTGAGGACATAGGAGCAGCCATCACAGCACAACTGAAGTCCTTCACAAAAAAGGGCCTTCAGAACTGCATCAGAAAGTGGTAAAAGTGATAGGATAAGTATACTCAAAGCAAGGCAGAATACTCTGAGGCAATTTAATGGCAATGTGTCTTTCACTGTAATAAATTGTTTAAAAGATTTAGGTTTTTAATTTGCGGTGATGGAGGTGGAACTCAGGGCTCTGCACATTCTAAGTGTGCTTTCTGTCACTGAGCTGCATCCGGAACCTCTGTCCTACTATTTCATAAAGAGAGATTTGAAAAGCAGAATTTGTGAGCCAAAGGGTATTTTTAGAATTGGTATTTGGGACCAAGTTGCCCTCCAGAAAGTACATTAATGTAGATCCCTGCCATCCATGGATCCCAGGGCTCATTTTCCATATCTCTATCAGCACTGGGATAATAAATACAATCAAAGTAAATACATAATCTATAAAAAGTGACACACTTTTGATCAATGTTTGCCAATGTGATACGTTAAAAAAAAAGAGAAGTCATTGTTTTAACTTGCATCACTTTGATGATCAGTGAGGTTCAAGAGTGTTTCACTTGTTTATTTGCATTTGACAGGCAGTTTGAGTTTCTTCTGGGCGGTGCCTGTATCTGCCCTCCACTTGCTGTGGGGTGTGAATCTTCCTCCTACTACGGGGTACGAACCGCTTACACGGAATGACACACCTGGGTATTGTCGCTGTGACTCCCAGTGTTTTTGGAGTTGCCTGATTAGCTTATACCTCCGTGACAAAATACACAGTAGTTATGGATTCTGCTTTTGGTGTTCTGTTTTAGAAAAGCCCTTTCATTCAAGGTTATGTGTGCATTTGGACACATTTCCTCCCACATCACATAGTCACACACATTGTTTACGTCCTGAGACTGTTGTGGTTTAATGTTTTCTTCAGCCTGTTTAATAGAGTGGGAATTTAATCAGGCATACGCGGTTCCAACCCATGTCTAAGTCAAGAGCAGGCAGAGCCTGGTTGCCAGCCCTCCCCTCTTGGCACCTGGCCTAGAATGTGTGGGACCTTTGTACTGTCTCCGCCTTCAGAAAGGGAAGAGTCCTCTGCCACCCCGAGGCTGAGCCTCATGCACAATCTTTGCCAGAATTATTTGCTCATTACCAGAGAACCCAAAGTACACACCAGGCCAGAAGGTTCACTGGGTAGACAAGCCATTATGAGCCAAGGATCTCCGTGCTTCTCCAGCTACCTGGGTCACATCTCTTCCCACAATCAGAAGTGATTTATTATTAATTCTGTCAAAGTGCACCGGATCGATCGCAGGGCACATCGCTTCGCCCAGTCCCCACAGTAAACATTGTTACCTGAGCTCTCGGACAAGGAGCTGTGAGGGGGCGAAGAGGACTACTGCAGTGATGCCTTCTGCATGCTGCAGAGAATGGGCCGAGGCGCATTCTACCTTATGAACGGTCTTGTCACCTGGGAAACTGTAGGTGTCCAGTTGAAGGAGCTGTGTTGGGCCCTGCAAAATGTCAGTGCTGACTGTGGAGCCAAGGCCAAGCACCCCAGAGGTGAGGATCAGAAAAGTCTCTGCAGGTGTGGTCCCCAAGGGAACCTGGGCTGTCCCTCCTTGCTCATGTATCACTGAGTCCCCCAAACCACCCACAGTTCCCAAGTGTGCACCGTCTTGGGGATTCTATTCCCTGAAATTGCCCTGCTCCTGGCTACCAACGCAGTTCATCTACTCATTCATTCAACAGGGATTTATTGAGCACCTATGGCATGCCTGGTACTGTTCTGGGCTTACACAGTGGTGAGGGCCTACCTTCCTGGAGCTCATATCTCAATGGGCATCAGCATGGGGCCAAGTGAATGGACATGGTAAGTCATGATTATGATAAGTTCTTGGACGGGACAGAGTTCTCCACCAGCTCCTTAGGGAGGGCCCATGAAGCCCGGGATAGACAGAGAGCTGGGAGCAAAGCAGCAGCTTTGTCCCCATGGACATCCTAACAAAACCAGCAAGATGGCAGAGGGAGGTTCTCTCAGAGGAGGTTACATTGGAGCTGAGAAGGAGACATCTCAGGAAGAGCAGAGTAAAGGGCAAGCCAGGCAGATGCGACAGCAGGTGCAAAGGCCCCGAGGTTAGGAAGAGCCTGCATGTGTGAGGATCTGGCAGGAAGCGGAGACAGAGAGCCAGGAAGACAAAGATGGGGGCTCGGGTAAGGGGAAGCCACCCTCACCACATCCTTTACTAAGACAGCCATTGGCTCAACCAACATGTATCTTATGGAAATAAAACTTTACAAATCATCAATTCCTGGCTCCCTGCAATGAGCATTGATGTTTTCTCTTCTGTTCTTCTTCGCTCCAGTTCCACTAAATTCACCTCCTGACTCACTAAGGGGCTGCAGGTGGCACTAAGGGACTGAAGGTCCTAGTAAAGATGTGTGTTGGTGCTCTCAGAGCAACGGGAATCCACTAACTTGTTTAAATGAGGGAGATAATCGACTAGATTTGTGTTTTTAAAAAGATTCCTTTGCTATCCTGCAGAGGGCTGCCAGGCACGCCCATGCTCAGAGCAGCATCACTCCTGACAGCCAAGCATGGAAGCAACCCAGGCGTCCGCACATGGGGGATGGATAAGCGAAATGAAGCCTGTGCCCGCAAAGGGATATCATTCAGCCTTCAAAGGGAAAGGGATTCTGGCACATGCTAGTGCATAGGGGACACTATGCTAAGAGAAAGCAGCTAATGACGAAGTGACAAACACTGCACGATTCTGTGTCTGTGAGGTGCCTGGGGCAGTCAGTTTCATAGGCAGACAATAGAATGACGGTTGCGAGGGGCTGGGGAGAGTGGGGAGTTAGTGTTCTAAGGGGACGAGATTCAATTTTTAAGATGGAAAAGTTGGGAAAGTGGGTGTCAGTGGTGGCTGAACAGATACACTTTAAAAGACTGTCAGTATTGTAGCTTATGTGCATTTTGCCCCGACTAAAAATAGAACCTTGCTAGGATGTATCTATTAGTGTCCCCAAAGGAAAGACAGTCCACTTAAATGGGGTGACCCTACATGAATTGAGCAACAGGGATCTGGAGAGAGTGGGCGGGTTGGAGACCCGGGAGCAGTGATGCTCCTCCGCAGAGGCCTGGAGCAGCTGGGGAACTCAATGGAAATGTGGCTAGGCCGGAAGGAGAAGGGGGACACGCCCTGATATAGTTCTGATTTTTTTTTTTTCTTGTACTGGGGATTGAACTCAGGGCCCATTGAGCCATATCCCCAGCCCTTTTTTATTTTTTAGACAGGAGCTTGCTACATTGTCCAGGCTAGGACTGAATTTGAAATCCTTCTGCCTCAGCCTCCCAGAGTGCTGGCCGTGGTATATAGAGCAGCAATAGACTTTTAGAGCTTTTCATGTAACAAACAGCCTGCTGTGGCAAAGGGGCCGCAGGTTTGCCACCACCGGTGTAGCTCTTAAATGTTCCCCAAAGGGGGACAAACGTATTACAGGATTAATCCTCAGGGTAGTGCTGTTGGGAGTGGTGGAACCTTTGAGAGGCGGGGCCTAGTGGGAGGTCTTTAGGTCACTGGCGACATGTGGGAACCAGGTCCCCTCTTCTCTTCCCTTTTTCTTTCCAGGCAGGAAGGCGAGTGACTTTGTACCAACACATGCTCCCACCACAATGTGCTGCCTCACCACAGGCCCCAAAGTAACGGGTCCAACTACTCATAGGCTGGGACCTCCAAAACTGTGAGCCAGAATAAACCTTTCTCTTATAAGTTGATGTCCTCAGGTGCTTGTTACGGTAGTAGAAACCTCACTACCAAGCACCCCGACCCCTCTGCACTACTTGGGTTTGATCAAACTAAGCCAAGGGTGCAAGCGCTGTTGTCTTGGATATCAGCCTTGGGACGTAGCCCATCCAAGCCAGGGCACCCTGGACGTATTGCCGGGTGGGTGTATTTTAGGTTAAGGAAGTTAGTGCTGAAATCTCCTGAGATCAAGGGAAAAAAGTCATTGCAGCAGAGCCCAGCCTAGGGTGGCAAGTAGGATCCAGACCAGCAGGGAGGAGGGAGACGCCACACATCGCTCTCCATCCCGGCCTGCTGAGGGAAGGGCCAGCACGGCCTGGACCTGCACAGGACCTACTGCTCACGCATCAGGAGGCCAAGGCTGTTCCCAGCTGCCTGGAACCCCGTGTGTATCATGAAGTCCATTGGGTTGGTGCAGTCGGCGTAGTCAAAAACAGATATTGAAGTAAGAAATAAAATAGGAAAGGAAGAAAAGAATGCACAAAGTCCATTGCAGGTGGCAAGTGAATAGCATTACACTGAGTTCTTCTTCCAGGCTTGTGACTGACGATATGTTTCTGGCCTTGGGCTGCAGCTATAAGGTGTGGGAAGGTTTGGTGGGCAGGGGTCCCGGCTTCTCTTCTCCGTCTGCTCCTTGCATCCCATGGGGCCGCCTCCCCTTGCTGCCCCACTCCACCTGGTACCTGTACATAGGGGACACTATGCTAAGAGAAACGCTCCCTCCCTCTGCCTGCTCACCTCGCTTGGCCCCATGCATTGTTCTTTGGAGGGTTTCTGTCCTTATTTTACTGATAAAGACACAGGAGTTCAGGAGTGAAGAGCAACCTGCTCAAGGATGTTGTGATCAGGGTTTATGAGGGCATGGATTTAGTACAGGACACATAGTTTATAAGATTATTCTATAATATTTACCCACAGAGTCAAATGCAAAAGAGTGTGGGAGATCTGTCCACACACCAGAGACCCAAAGAATCCAGCTGGGGGCCTGGACCTCATGGCAATGTCCTCCACGAGTCCAGCCGGAGGCCTAGAGCCCACAGCAGTGTCTCACGCAAGTCTGTCTCACAGATCTGCACTGGGAAGGCCTAAAGGCCAGCGGTGGAAGCTAAAGTCTGTACCATCAGCGTGAAGGATCTGTGCCAGCAGGCTGAGGGATCTGCACTGGAGCCAGGAAGTGATGCTCAAGGTAAGGACCAGAGCTCCCCCGAAGAGAACCTCAGCCATCCTCAGCAACAGCAAGGACGCAAGCTCCTCCAATGATGAGAACAGCGGAGTTCATATCAGGAAAGCCAGCGTGACAAGCTTCTGCAGGAGAATCAATAGCACGTCTTCCCCTCCAGTTCTTCTTTTATGCTGTTCGCAACAGTCCCCAGGTGGGCCTTCCACCCCAGAACCACGCTGACTCAGTTCGGCTGGGTGTTACAAGGTGACCCTCAGTTAGTCCTCCACAAGGGACATCTAGCTAGACCTCGTGGTCAGGACTCCAGCCCACCACTCTGTCTCTGTGCCCAGGCCCTGAGCCCGGAGACTCCTTGGTGAGACAAAGACCAAGGATAAGGGGCCGTGGAAAGGGAGGGCTCCCGGGGGAGGTGTCCTTGAGAGGGAGGAACATCAGATCCCTGGAAGACATCCTCCACTGCCATGGGCCCTGAGCTGTGAGGGTCCAGCTTACGGGGAGGGAAGAGATGGCATCAAGATGGCAGGGTGTGGGATGTAATCACCGTGTGCAGGCTGTGCGGCAGGGTCTGGAGCGAGGACGGCCAACCGGAACAATGCAGTCCTTGTTCCAGACACTTGGATAAATAGACACGGAAGGGATGTAACTATAAAGTTGATGAAGTAAGTCGGGCAGAGGAGGAGACAGAACATGACAGGCTTTTACTGAAGGGGGCAATGATACTGAGGCTCAGAGGATGAGAGGGCCCAGCGAGGCTGAGGGTGATATAAGAGCATTCCTAGCCTAGAGCCTAGCATGTGCAAAGGTCCTGAGGCAAGACTGGTTGACAGAAGGCAGAGTGCCTGAAGCATGGCCAACCAAAGGTCAAGCACACATAGGGAAGGGGGCCCAGGAGGCGGGGAGAGAGGGCTCACTGTGGACAAGGCCCGGGGGTGGGTGGCTTGGGCAGGGCTCTGTGGTGCTACCATGGCCCCACTCGTGGCCCTGGCCCTACCACGGTCTCACCCCCTCCTGCCTGCCAGTGACAGTCCTCTCCTCTCCCGCCCGGGCTCAGGCCGCTGTCCTTCAAGACTGAGACCCGCTCCACAAGCTGGGAAGGCCTTTCCCTGGTGTGATCCTGGCTGGGGCCTTTTCCGTGCCTTTGGCCACCTCTGTAAGAGCAGGTGTTTCTCAGGCAGCACTGGGGATTTTGCCCCTATCAGAGAGACCAGCAACACTCAGGGACTTGGGAAGCGCGGGCCCGAAGTCCGACGTGGGCGGTGGCCTCTGGGCTGGGGTGGGCAGCCATCAGCCGGGAAGGCGGTCTGGAACGCAGGCCTCGCCTCTCGTGGAAGGTCTCTCAGAGGTGCGCCTGCCTCAGGCCCATGTGAAGGCACAGCTCAGCAAGACAGTCCCAAGCCTCCCCCCCACCGCCCCGGCCCGAGAGGCTCATCGGGGCCTGGGGAGCTGCACCTCAGGGGGCTTCCAGCTCCTCTGACATTCGCAGTTCAGCCACCGTTCACTCAGAGGCACAGCTGTGCATAACGACATCTGCCCCAGGAAGCTGATGTGTTACAGGGGAAGACAGGAAACACTGACTTGGACAGCCGGTGACAGGGAATGTCCAGAGGGAGAGGAATGTGAGCAGGGTGATGGCACTTGGAGGCGCAGGCCCAGGTGAGGGCTGCAGCCTGGGACAGGAGCAGGGAGCAGGCGTCATCCACAAGGTGACAGAAGTCTTGAAGGTTGTGTAAGGGAAGAGGGAGCAGGTGGTGCAAAGGTCCTGAGGCAGCAGAAAGGAGAAGCTGTAGAGAAGCAGGGAGGAGGCCAGCGTGGCTGTGGCAGCACAGACAGGCAAGGGGGAGGACGTCAGAGAACTGACAGTGGACTTCCCAGGCGAGGAGGGAGCCGTTGGAGGGTTTAGAGGAGAGAGATGTTGTGATCCGACTTGTGTCTTTTTAATTTTTTTATTAGGTGAGTACATTCAACATGGGGGGTTGGTGCACACACGTGTTGCTTCTTAATCTCCCTTCCTCATTTCCCGCCCCAGTGGGTTCCCTCCCCATCTGCACAAGGTCTACCTCCCTGTTTCCTGTCTCCCATCTTTTACTTTGCTCTTTCAATCATTATGCTCGCCAGGCTCCCCCAGCTGGCTCACCACAAAACAGAACACACGGATGAGCCGGGGCGGCAGAGAAGCCAGGAGGCCAGCTGGAGACAGCGTGAGCACCAGGGTTTGAATCTCTAGCAGGAGCCTTCGCAGGGCTCACTTCCGCCCAGGCCAGCCCTGTTCCAGGTGCTTCACCCACATCCACTCATTTAATTCTTGCACAGCCATACAGAGCCACTACTCTCCGTCTTGTTGTGCAGGTTCTGCTGCGGAGGCATAACTAAGTAATTGACCCCAGGACACACGGCTGAAAGGTGGAGAGCCAGAATCTGAACCCAGGTAGCCTGAAGCCAGAACTCTGGAAACCAGAAGCCTGGTTCCTGAAGGGCCACACGCCTCAGACAGAAAAGTCACAGTCCCTGCCAGGAGAGAGGGTGTCAGCACAGAAAACAGAACCCAGAGCTGCAGCCTGAGAGGGGTGAGCAGAGGGCGTGGGCCTGAGTGCTCGGCAGTCTGGGGTGCCTGTCGAGGGGCAGGGTGAGGTCAGAGGGGCGCGGGACCTCTCCAAATCTCCATTTTGTCTTACGGGAAAGGGGGACCGAGGGTGCTGCCTGGCAAGGTGCTGCCAGGCGGAAGCCCAAGCCAGAGCTTGCCTGACGGAGTGGGCAAGCTGCGCCGGAGACAGGAGTCACTGAGGCCGCGCTGGAGAGGCCTGTGCCCGGGACCTGCCAGGGCTGCCAGGCAGGAGTAGCCACTGAGGGGGACACCAGTGAAGGACATGGAGCTTTGTTAACAGCTCCTGGGGGACACTGGCCGCTTGGGAGGCAGAGCATTCAGGCCCCAAATGCACCGACCGTGCTGGGAGCTGGGCAGCTGTGTGGCCGTCACTTGTTTTGGCCTCTCTGAGCCTCAGTTTCCTTACCTGAAGATTGGAGAAGAAAAACGCTGGCTCCCTTAGGACCCCCACCCCACCCCAAGTCCAAGGGAGGCTGGCTTGGTGTGACTGCGGAGCCGTCTGCCTGCCCAGGGACCCATCACGCAGCTGGCTGTGGGAGTCTTTTGTCTTCCCTGATCATTTGTGTCACTCTGAGGATGGCCTTTTGTTTCGTTTTTAAGTGTAAATTTGAAGTGATTTCTATTTACTTCCAAGAAGCTCAATAAACTTCTTTCCTCTTAAGTTTCGGCAGCCTTGGGCATTTTGTAATAGTAATGAAAAACTGACTAATGCACCTCCTGCCACCATAATCAACCCGTGGCCTACCCTGTAGGCTCTCTTTCCATCTCTCCCCTCCCTTGTACCTCAATTTTGGTCCAAGGCACCTCCCTCTCATCCAGAGCACAGGGCAGTGGCTTCTATGTTGACCACTGACCCCTCCAGTCTAGGTAGAAGATGTAGCTTAGGTCAAGTCTTTTCTCTGCTTGAAACTCGCCAGTATCTTCTAACTGCACCTGGGACTCCTCAGCATGACCTTGAAGGCCGTATATCTCCAACCACTACTGTCAGCACACCCCCGCCTCACTTTTTGTTCCAGGCCTCCAGCCAGGACAGAGACACCGTGACCATGACTGTCATCCTTGTGGCTTCTTCCAGAGGCAGACCCTGGCTTCCATCCCCATGGCCTGGGCTAGCCCACGACTCACGCTGGTCCGCACAGTGGGGCACAGTGAATGATCTCCATCCACATCATCTTTTCCACCAGCATCCACCACTGATAGCACAGGAAATGTTACTGCAGGGAGGCCCTGCTGAGTAACACACAGGCCCACAAGTTGGAAATGAACGCTCCCCAGAGCCCTGAGCTCGGCCCCTTTCAGGGCACTCTTTCCTCCCAGGTGCTCATGCTCCTGGGCTCCTCTGTCTCACCACCTGCATCCAACAAATTGCTTGCGGTATATCCAGGGTTTGGCCACTCTGGGCCACCATGCTGCCCTCTCCTTGCTTTGTACCCCAGT